AACATGCTTTCTGGTGTAGAGATGCTAAAGCAAATGGAAGAAATAAGCAAGTAAAAGAACTGAACAGAACATTTCAAAGGTCAGCTCGAGAAAACAAAGTCAAGTATTATAATGAAACGTGCAAAGACCTGGAGGTAGAAAACCAAAAGGGAAGAGCATGCTCAGAATTTCTCAAGCTGAAAAAACTGAAGAAAAAAAATTCAAACCTCAACTTTTAATTTTGAAGGCTTCTATGATCAAAATGGAAACCTGGTGTGGTGTTGTGGGATAATGCATTTGACTGCAAAGTCAGTTTAAACCACAGAGTTGGTGGTTCAAGTTCACCAGCCACTCCTTGGAAACCCTATACAGGGTCACTCCGGATCAGAACCAACTTGACAACACTTAACAACAACAACAACAATGGGCAAAATATTGAATGATACAGAGAGTTTCAAAAGAAGAATGGAAGGAATACATAGTTACTGTATCACAAAGAAATAGTAGATTTTCAGCCATTTCAAGAGGTAGCATGTGATCAACAGCCTATGGTACTGAAGGAAAAAGTCTAAGCTACACTGAAGGTATTGGCAAAAAAACTAGGCTTCAGGAATTGATTGGATACAAATTTAGACCTTTCAACAAAATGATACAACACTGCAGGCACTCACACATCTATGCCACGATATTTGGAAGACGACTACTTAGCCTACCAATTTGTGCCCATTCCAAAGAGCGGTGAACCAACAGAATGTGAAAATCATCAAACAATATCATTAATATAACATATAAGTAAAGTTTTGCTGAAAATAATAATAAACCTCCAGAAATTCAAACTGGATTCAGACGAGGATATGAAATGAGGGATACCACTGATGACATCAGATGCTTGACTGAAAGCAAAGAATACAAGAAAGATGTTTACTTGTGTTTTATTGTCTATGCAAAGGCTTTTGACTATGTGGATCATGACAAGCTATGGATAGCATTCTGAAGAATGGGTATTCCAGAACACGTAGTTGTGTCCCTTAGGAACCTGTCCATAGAGTCTATGTATTCATTAGAAATGAACAAGGGAATATTATGGTGGTGATGGTGGTGGTGTGCTTTCAAGTCATTTCTGACTCAAAGTGATGCCATATAGATTTTCCTAGGAGTGGCTGGTGGATTCGAACTGTCAACCTTGTGGTTAGCTGTCTATCCTACAGCACCACATCAGGACTCCTAAGGGGATAATGAATGGCTTAAAATAAAGAAAGATATGTACCAGAGTTGTATTCTTTCATCAAACTTATCCAAACTACATGCTGAACAAATAATCTAAGAAGCTGGATTATATGAAGAAGAGTATGGTATCAAGACTGGAGGAAGACTTATTAACAACCTGCAGTAAGCAGATGATACAACCTTGCTTGCTGGAAGCAAAGAGGACTTAAAATACTGATGAAGATTACAACTCAATAAATAAAACAAAAATTCTCACAACTGTACCAATAAATAACATCATGATAAATGGAGAAAGGTTTGAAATTGTCAAGGACTTCATTTTGCTTGGATTCACAATCAATCATAATTCACAATTGGAAGCAGCAGTCAGGATATCAAACAACATATTGTACTATGCAAATCTGCTGCACAAGATCTCTTTAAAGTGTTCAAGAGCAAATATATCAATTTGAGGACTAAGCTACATCTGACCCAAGACATACTATTTTCAATTGCCTCATATGCATGTGAAAGTTGGACAACGAATAAGAAAGATCATAGAAGAATTGATGCATTTGAGTTGAGAAAAATATTGAAAGTACCATGGACTGTTAGAAGAACAAACAAATCTGGATTGGAAGAAGTACAGTCAGAATGCTCCTTAGAAGCCAGGATAGTGAGACTTCATCTCTTGTACTTTGGACATATTATCAGGAGGGACCAATGCCTGGAAAAGGATATCACAATTGGTAAAGTGGAGGGTCAGTGAAAAAGAGGAAGACCCCCCGCCCCAACGACATGGACTGACACCGTAGCAGCAACAGTGGGCTCAAGTTTAACAATTGTGAGGAGGACACAGAACCAGACAGTGTTTTGTTCTGTTGTGCATAGGGTTGCTATGAGTTGAAGCTAACTCGATGGCACCTAACAAAAACAATAAATGTTACTTACATGAAAAAATATGTAGTAGGGAGCTCAGTGGCTCCATAAGATGAGCACTGGGCTGTGAACCTCAGGTAATATGATTAGAACCCACCAGTCTCTCCATGGAAGAACGGTGAGCACCTGCAAAATATTTTAAGCCTTGGAAGCCCTAAACAGACAAGCTGAGTCAAAACTGACTCATTACACTAACAACAAGAAGTCTGCATTAATAGTAATCTTTGCATTAAAGATTAACTTGAAGCCCGGAGCGGCAAAATCAGTGGCTCCGAATGACAGCTAGCAAATGATGGATCCAGAAGTTAAACTGAGAACTTCTCACTTCAAAACCTACCTCATTCCCACTTCACCAACTAGAACAGAGCAGGGGATTTTTTTCATGCTAAAACCACATTGCCTTCCATCTCTCCATTCACTCCTCTTTCTTTCAGAGTCAACAATACGATAGGACTGATAGGATAATTTGGGGAGGAGGGTGAGAATTTCATTTGATATACGATGATAATGCAGGTAAAAAGAAGTCATTTTTTTTTTTATTGAAATGCTGAAATGAGACCTCCTGTCTAAAGCTGTCTAAACTTGGTCTGGATCAGTTGGTCTCTTTGGAAAATTCTGGAACCTGTAGTGATCTCATTCCAAGTACCAAGCAGGAGCCAAGATTCATCTGATGTCAGCAATGATATCCTTCGTTCCACATCCTCTTCTGAAACCTGTTTGAACCTCTGGGAAGTATAGCCAGAATGCTCCCTGGAAGCCAGAATAGTGAGACTTCATCTCTCATACTTTGGACATATTATCAAGAAGAACCAATCCCTGGAGAAAGACATCATGCTTTGTAAAGTGGAGGGTCAGTGAAAAAGAGGAAGACTTCCCCAATGATTTATGGTTGTAAGTGCATGTCAATGTTGCAGCTGTTTCTGTATTACCTTTAGTAAAACTTTACTCGCATAGGATATCTGTGATATTGTCTGATGATTTTCACCTTTCTTTGGAATGGGCACAAGTATGGATCTCTTCCAATCGTTGGCCAGATAATCATCTTCCAAATTTCTTGGCATAGATGAGTGAGTGCCTCTAGTGCCACTTTAATTACTAGTAGTTAGCTTTTGAGGCCAAAGTGTCTACTGTGTGTCTTATAAGAAAACAACAAAAAGGGTACTTGATGTAAATCTTCAGGGCAAAGAAGATTTCTAAAAGGATATGAGCTAAGATGTAAGGAATACACAGGAATTTAACAAGTGAAAAGTGACGAAACTGGTCAATAAGGAAACGGTCTTTCCAGATAAAAGTATATGGGAACTGAAAGAATGTCAATGAGATTGGAAGACAGCAATCTAAAGGCAGAGAAAGGGCAGTGGGAGTGGTGGTAGTAAATGGTGATGGTGGTGGTAGTGATGTGTGGGGATGATGGTAAAATGTGGTATGGATGAGTAGAGGTAGTGATGGTAATGCATGGTATGGGGATGTGTGCTGTGGAAGGATGTGTGGTAAGGAATGGGTGGTGTAAGAATGTGTAGTTGTGGAATGTCTTGTTGAAGGATGTATGGTGTGGGGATGTGCAATGAGGGAATGTGTAGTGGTGGATAATGATTTGAATATATATATGTTCATATACTTTCCTGCCAAAATGTTTTAAAGTTCATTATTTTTTTACTCTAGAACAGGAATGCTTAAGTTCAAATCTTAACTCAACCATATCCTAGGTCTTGGATTTGGACCAGATGTCCTAACCTTAAGCTTGCCTCGCCTTTAAGATAGAATGATAATTTCACTTATTTTATAGAGCTTGTGTGAGCATTAAATTACTCCATTTAGGCAAAATGGAACAGTGTCTGGCAAATAGTAAGTGTCGAAAAGTTTGTTTACATTTTCTTATTTATTTTTCGGGTTCCTCAAGTAATGCTGAAAAATCTATCAGAAATTTCCAAAACAATCCCACTACTTAGGAAATGTCAATATTTTTATTCTTCTCAAGGTGCAATTGGGATGACCCTTAGGATTAAAACTGGATGAAAGGTTGTATCACTTTTTACAATAGGAAATGCAGGTGAGAAAATAGCTGTGAAGGGGGACAATGATCAATTTCCCTTGGTCCTCTAGCATATCTTGTGTCTGTAGAACAACCAGGTGGAAATACAGATCCATAGCTGAGGAGAAAGACTTTATGATCGACCAGACACCTTACCAAGGGCATGCTTTTCAGAGAACTGTAAGATATGATTTTTAAAATAATTAATGTTTCCATTTTGACTCCCTTTGTTGTTTTTGTTAGTTGCCATCGAGTTGACTCTGACTCAATGGAAACCCTCATACAACAAAATAAAATATCACCTAGTAGGGAACCATCTTTATGATTACTGGTATGCTCAAGTCCATTGTTGTCATCACTGAGCTATTTTTAATGCTTTCCAACCTAGAGGGTTCATTTTTCTAGCACTACATTGGACAATGTTCTGTTGAGAGCTAGTGTTTCCATTGGGAAATTTTTGGAAGTAGATAGTTAGACCTTATTTCCTAGTCTTTCATAGTCTAGCTTCTTATTTAAATATAATAGCATGATCTACCCCTAAGGTCTGTGTGGTTGTGAGAGTCTCCCTCCCCTTTGAACCTCACAAGGAGACTTTCCCAGGAAACAGAGCTTTAGCAAAAGCAGCAGCTCTTACTACCCATCGGCTCACTCTCCACAAGTGTGAGGTCCTTCATAGGTATAGGGTGGTATCTTTTTTGCTTGGTGGATATGGTGCTAACTTAGCTAAGCCACTGCTGGGGAAAGAGAAGAATGGAACTGTTATACTTTGAGTTTCTCCCAATCCAACCAACTTTGATTATTGAGTCCTGGCCCTTTCTTCCCTCTCTCTCTTTTCTTCTTTTAGTAACATGTGGCCAAAAATTAACACCCAAATTTGTAAAGCCAGAACCTTCCCAAATTCTTGGTGGGGAATTTGCAGACATTGCCGATTTTCCATGGCAGGTGGGTATTTTTAATAAAGGGAAGCATCGCTGTGGAGGATCTATACTCAATCAATGGTGGATTCTAACTGCATCCCATTGCTTCATAAACATAAATGTGTAAGTATCAGATTAAAAAAAAAAATCAGTGTGCCCCCAAACCCAAAATCAAACCTACTGCTCTCAAGTCTATTCCAGTTTATAGCAACCCTATCGGTCTCATGGTGGTGCTGAAGGATAAGCACTGGACTGTGGGCCACAGGTTAGCAGTAAAAACCCACCAGCCACTCCTCAGAAACTGTGAGTCAGAACCAACTCAACAACACTTAACAACAACATAGGGCAGAGTAGAACTGCTCCCTATCTGTAAATCTTTATGGACACTGACTGCCACATTTTTCTCCCATGAAATGGCTGGTGGGTTCAAACACTTGAGCTTTTGGTTAGCAGACCAACAATTAACCCATTGAACCACCAAAACGCCTTGGCATTTGTCCCAGGTGCTTACTCTTCTCTTGATAACACAACCCAAGTTTGCCACCCATACAGCAAAATACCAGGAAGCTAAAAAAAAGCCCTGTGTGGCAGAATATCATATTTAACACATATGAGGTGAGCTGAGTTTTAAAACTCAACAAAACAATCAGTTTTATACATTGCTGTGTCTTTAAATTGTGGAACAAATGTTCCTTAGACTTCTTATAACATGTCAGCAAGAAGTACATGTGGTCCTGGCCCACACTTCTGGAAAGTGCTTTTCTAAGCATTTCCTGACACTCTAAGAGAGTGGATACTCAGTGACCATATAGAGTCAAGAATCCTAGAGAGGATAGAACTAAGGGCAAGGCACCAGTCCTGGCTGTGTATCAGAAACTCATGAGATATTATCACAAATCAAAAATCAGTATTTTAAAGAAATTCCTTAGGTGTTTGTTGTATAGCCAGACCAGAACAGCTTGCGGGTCAGGTTCAAATTCATCTATCACTTGTATACATCTTGATTTCAAAAATATTTGTTAATAAAAATTTCAAGTGAGGAAACTAAAAGTCAGTGAGTTAAAACTTCACACTCAAGCAAGAGACCATCTGATCAAGAGTTAATTGGCAACAGGGTTGGACTAAACCTCAGGCCTATTTTCCTGACTTTATGGCAAGTTCATGGTCCATAAGCTTCCACATCCCCACTTCTCGGGTCATAGCCTTAAAGATTGAATTACTTCCCCTTAAAGGTCACATTTTGTCCTTCCACAACTTACCTTCTTCTTCTTTTTTAACCTTTTTTAAAATGTTGAGATAAGGTCTGATTTGGAGATCACCTATGGTGAAGACGACTTAAGTATCAAGAACTTGATGAAGCACCAAGTAGCCAAGCTAATTACGCACCCTGACTTTGACCACTTTATCTTGGATAATGACATAGCTTTGATTTTGCTAAAATTCCCAATGGACTTTAGTGTCAAGAAAGCACCCATCTGCCTTTCAGAGGTCAACAAAATAGAGAAATGGAAAAACTGCTGGGTGACCGGATGGGGTATAATCGGTGAGTAGCTATAGCCCAACCCAATGGAAAATTAGAAGCAAACTGTTAGGAACTAGAAGCAAACTCTGGAGGCTCTACTGGTCCTGGAAAACCAGCCTGGTGGATCAAGGGGCTTCACGTTCTTACAGTTCATGTGTCTTGTCCTCTGTCCCACTTAGTAAGGCATATGTCCTGGGTTCCTGTAGTCAGGGTTTCTGCCTCTATTATAGAACATGAACCCTATACAAGTACTCAGTATAAACCAAGCAGAGATTTTCAGAGCCCTAGAAAGTGACTTGGAGAAATTCTCTGTTCTGATTGATGATATTACCTCTGCTTCTCTGTGAGAATGAGTTCTGTGGTTACAGCATTTGAGCCCCACATATCCAGGATAAGGGGAGGCAATACACTGAATATTACATTTTTTCCTTTCAGTGTTAATCTATAACCCCCAACCCTAACCCCCTTCCCACCCAAACCACAAAATTATGAGCTTTTGTCTTTGCAATTGGTAAATGCATCTTACTCCAAAATAAACAGAACAACAAAAGATGCATTTAAATTACTGCTGCTCTTCCAAGTAAGAGGGGGCTTCAAAAGAGTCATTGAAAAATTCTATTGCCTTTTAACTCCATTTTTCCAGGAACTGTTTGAAGCTTCCTTGTAGGCACCCAAAGAACTGCACACTCTTCCAGTGATGCCCTAGAGCTCTGAGCCATTTTTAAATTCCTCTCTGGGGATTGTCCTCAGAAGTTTTTATTGAGCTTTTGAAAAATAAGGCCACCTTCTTAACACAGATTTTCTCATATTTTATTCAATACATATTCATTGAGCCCCTTCTATTTTCAAGACTGTCTATGCACTGGTAATTCGGCAATAATGAGAAAAGCATTACTGTCTTTGAGGAGTGAACGTTCTAGGAGTTGGTCTTACCTCCTCCTCTAAGGCAGTGAATTCCTCCAGGGTTCTGATGTGAATCACGTCCATCTTTTTCTCTTGCTCATTGTGGGTTACCCTTGCAGTCTATGGATTTGAATGAAATAATGTTTTCATGCCTTAGGTGAAGCTTGGTACATTCTGTAGGGCAGGAAGACAGTGTCTCTAGCTGAGATTGAGCTGGGACCCAGTCCTCAGAAAGCAGATTTAGAAAGGGTGGACTTGGGGGTTTCCTGAACATCCTTTTCACCCTCTCTCAACTCAATCCTAAAACAGTTGTTCCCTGGGCCATCACAGGACAGTTCCTTTGTCATTGAAGTGGAAAGACATAATGTGTGTGGGCATTCAACCTCAACCTGAGGGAACCATTTTGGACTCAGAACTCTCTTCTCTACAACTTCTTTTTTGCATTAGATCCTATTCAACATGTGCTTCCGGCTCTGCAGAAAGTCAACCTCCAGTTGGTCCAATGGAAAATGTGTTCCCAAGTTGTTCCCTTACTCACCCAGAATATGCTATGTGCTGGGTACCCTGAAGGTGGAAAGGATGCCTGCCAGGTAATGAAACTTGTTCTATGCTTTGATAGTGGGTGCCATGGACGGCTGGCCAACATGTTGCGATGTTGCTGAACCGGTTTGAGCAGAGCTCCCAGACTAAGATAGATTAGGAAGAAAGGTCTGGAAATCTATTTCTGAAAATCAATCAAAGAAAACCCTATGGATCACCAAAGTCTGATCCACAACCAATCATGGGGATAATTCAGGACTGGGTAATGTTTTACTCTACTGTGCATAGGGTCACCACGATTTGGGGGCCAACTTAATAGCAACTAAGAGCAGGGTTGCTGTGAGAACTGCGTTAACGTGTACAAAGCCCTTAGAACCATGTGCAGCAGAAGAAAGTTATAATAAATATTATGTCTATTGTATACTTCATCAGCATCCCTTACAAACACTCAATGTTCTCTAGCATACAAACTGCTTCCACAAATACATAAAATCGTCTTGAATTAGCTCCATGAAACACGTGTATTTTAGATGAGGGAACTGGAGACCAGAGAAGGTAAAAGGTTGCTGCATGGCATACATGATTTGCCTTCAGCTGCTAATCTAAAGGTTAATGGTTCAAATTCACTCAGCAGTGCTATAGAAGAAAGGCCTAGAGATTTGCTTCTGTAAAAATTATAGCCAAGAAAATCCTCTGGGCTTTTCTACTCATAATACACAAGGTTGCCATGAATAAAAAATAATTCAATGGCAGCAGGTTTAGTGTTTTTTGGTGTGTTTTTTTTTAATTAAGAAAATTTCATCCTGCTAAATACTCAGACTTGGATTAGTATCAAAGTTGTTTGGCTCCAGATATTTAAACTACACTTGATTCAGGATTCTTAACTACACTGCTCTTTTTCACATAGATTACCTTGTGTAATTAATATTCTTCATTTAACAAACAAACCATATGATTTCTAATGACTTCAAGGAATTTAGTATAGAATAGTATTGTTCAAAGAATGTTGATAGACACAGCAATTTGTTCATGATAGCAATGTGGTATAAAGATTCCAGCAACCCCATCTCCTGGTGATGTCACTCTTATTGTTTTTTATTTGGAATTCTAGGACTTCACTGAGGGCTTTCTTTCAGCTTTTAATGTGCCACTTTATTTTAAATTTAGATTTTTTGTAAGCAATATGTAACAGCTGGATCTTATTTCTGTAAAATAATAGTGATTCATGCATATTTGTATACACAAGGATATAGAAAGCTTTGTTTTGAGATACTATTGGAAGTTGCATTTGTGTGGGTGAAACTACAAGTGTTGTTTATTTGAAAACACATATATGCACATAGCAAAGAAAATCTAAACAGTGTTAAGGGAGAGTATATAGAGTAACTCTCCCACCTAAATCTCTCACTCTCACCTGGCCCCTAATCACTCTGCAGAGGGAGATCCCTGTTATAGGGTGCATAACCTTCATGACACTTTTTTTCCATATATATTCTCGTGTGTTTAATTACATATTTACATATGAGCTTAATTGTTCTTATAATTCTGGGTATTTTCATGTTCTTTTTCCATATCTAATCTTTTTTATGATTAAATATCACTCTCCAATAGAATTAAGAACAATCCAAATGGTTTTGTATTGTATTTCTCAATTTTCAGGGCAATTTGACTGCTCAGCTTATTTAGAACTCTTATTCACAGTGCTTAATGATTTTTAATTGTTTAAAATGGAATGTTTTAAAGCAAAATACAGCATTTTGGTTTTTATCTTATAATTTTTTATATACAAGTTTTTAATCAGTGGCCCATGGATTTTGAGGCAAAATGGATTTTGTTTCTTTCTGAGCTATTGTGTACAATGGAAATAGTGTGTTGTTGGAAATGGATTTGAAGTAAATGGGCAAGGAGACATTCTGATGAATTCTGAAAAATAACAAAAGTGTTTAGTAGCAAATCAATTAGAAAGCAATGCCTTGGTATATCAAAATTAATACATGTAACTCAATGATGAATGTTACTTTTTTCCTATTTTGTCATTTATCATACTGCTTGTCATCAAAGTTTTGGCTACCTTTTCTAACAGTCATGTAGCTTGGAACATAGTTGTGTAGTTAAGGAGCTTAATCAAAATAAAAAATACTGGCTTATTCCAAAGCACCACTTTTTGCCTTGTCCCAGGAGCCTACACCTTAATAGACCCTAACAGTGACTTGCTACTGTCCCTTCCACTCCCAAATAACTCCTCTCTTAGGGTGACAGTGGAGGGCCTCTGGTTTGCCAGAAAATGGAGAACCAAAGCTTGTGGTACCAGGTGGGCATTGTCAGCTGGGGAATGGGCTGTGGCCTGAAGAACAAGCCTGGAGTATACACGAAGGTGTCTAATTATCTGCTATGGATTCGTATGGAGACAAAAATGGCAGGAAAACCCTACATGCACATACCAGACTCTGGGCACAGATTCCTTCTATCATCCAGGGCCATTTGGCTACTGTATTCTGTGGTGTTTCTATTACCCCAGTGATTAAACACTATATTGCTTCAAAACCAAGTGAGTGTCTCAGTTTGTGAAGTAGGGTCAATGGGGTGGGAGTGTATGTTGCAAGGAATGATTCTCATATTAGTTATCCTTGAACTCTACCAGCTGCTATGGAGTTGATTTTGACTCATGGCTACGTCACATGTCAGCGTATAAGTGTGTCCTGGTGTGGCGCTGTGGGGTAATAATGTGCCAGACTGCAAAGTCATTTGAAATGCAAAGTCGGTGGTTCAAGCTCACCAGGTGCTCCTTGGAAACCCTATACATGGTTGCTATGGGTCAGAATCCACTGATGGCACTTAACAACAACAACAATATGGGGTTTTTAATGGTTGATAATTTGGCAATAGACCACTAGTCCTTTTTTCTGAGGTGCTATCAGACCTTTTAACACATGTGATCTCATCATGTATACATACATAAGACCAGGCCCATGGCTCACTAGGAATTTGAAGGCAGGTGTCACAAGTTCACTAATTGCAGCCATCAAGGCAAGTGGTCAGCTTCCCTCAGGACAAACCCCCTTCCATGACCAAGAATCAAGGGAAATACACAAGCAGGCATGTGGTCTTACTGGTGACCACGTTGGTCTACCAATAAGGGGAAGTAGGGGGAAAAACAGTAATGAAGTTGTGAGCTAAGTCTGATCGACGTTGGGAGTGACTGAGCCAAAGGTCTCTAACTTGGGGGTAGTTTAACCGAAGGATTGCAACTGAACAGTTGTGGTCCAGAAACTCAGGCTGCACCCAAGTCAAGCTTCCCCAACTTGCAGGGCTGCTTCAGGGTACAGGGAACTTGCAAGGTCTTTCCTTGCACACAGCCATGACCTTTAGCTCAGTCTGCACAAACAGACCACTTTCAACAGCCTCCTGATTGAGACCTGGTTGGCCAGCAGTATGGCGAGACCTGGGGACTCCTGGACCCAGGGACAGGGACATGGCCACAGAGGACTAGAGTGGATAGTAAAGAGTCCAGTTGATATGAAGTGAGGGGAGATGCACAAGAATACCCATACTTGCAGATAGTACCCATTTGACCTGAATTCAATGGCTGAATAATCAGAAATCGACTAGAGGAAGAAATAGGAAAAAAAGAGTAATGCACTACAATGTGATGAACTTGACCTATACTTATGGATATAGTAGTTCAAAAGAGGGAACAAATCTTTACAGCAAGGATCATTCCCACCCCCTCATACACAAGGTTGACAGAAATGGGCAGCTTAGACACTGGCTATCCAAAAGTGGGTGTGGGGGGTGCGCTACAAAGGCACGAAATGACTGGCTTACAAGCTTTCAAAAGGAAGCCTAGTTTCAGAAGGTGAGGGGAAAGGTAGGATCTCCACTGAGTGGTTTCCAACCTATCTGGACGGGGCTGGTGAAAGCAGATGGGGATAAGACTCTTGTAGTTTAATACTGAATAATTGCTATCAGGATTGATTGTGAATGCTGCAAATGAAAGGTAGTCATTTTGTAACAAAAGGAGGGGAGTGGTTGACTTTGCAGTCCAGGAGCGGAGGACCCTGGGAGTGTCAAAGGAGAAGAGTGGAGTTCAGGACCCTATCCAGAAAAGCAGTGACACCAGAAATGGAAGCAAAGACAATGATGTGGAAAGATGGAGCAACTGGGGACTCTGAACTCAAGGAGGGAGAGGGGCTTGTGCTGACGGCTGGGGGGCAGCCTTGCGGGGTGTACCCTTTGGTTGTTTGAATGGTTATATATTCCTGAGTGCTTCCATGTACATCTGAAAAACAATAATAGCAAAACAACAAAACTAATAAAAACAGAGGGAATGGAAACAAATGCTGTCGAATGATGATGCATGGATGGGATTGTAATCATTCCAATGAAATGAAATACGGTAGGATGAATGTAAAGTTGATGTTCTCTCATGCAGGCTATCACCCAATTCACAATAAAAACTTAAAAAAAAATAAAATAAAATAGTTAACAACAACAACAAAAAAGCAAAGCTCTCACTTTGAGGAGTAAAGTGCCTCTGATCCAAGGTATGTTATTTTCAGTTGCCCTATCTGCATGCAAAAGCTGGACAATGAATAAGGAAGATGGAAGAATTGTTGCATTTCAATTACGATGTTGACAATGAATGTTGAATATACATGGACTAGCAGGAGAAAAAAACAAATGTGTTTTGGAAACAATGCCACCAGAATGCTCCTTTGAAATAAGGATGGCAAGACATACTTTGAAATGAGAATGGCAAGTATGTCTCACCTACTTGTACATGTTATCAGGAGTGGACATCCATGAGAAGGACATCATGCTGTGCATAGGGTCACTATGAGTTGGTACCAACTCAATGGCACCTAACAACAACAACAACAACCTTTGTTTTGGAATCCTGGTGTGGTGCTATAGGATAGGCACTGGACTGTAAGGTCAGTTTGAGTTGCAAGGTTGGCATTCAAATCCACCAGTCACGCTCAGAAACCTTATACAGGGTCACTATGAGTCAGAACCAACTTGATGGTGCTTAACAACTTAACAGGTTTGTTTTCTTTTGCATGATTCTATATCTGGCTTGAGTCTAGGTGACATTGTCTTAAATGTTAGTCTCATGTTGTTGTCTGCTGTTGTTGGTTCTCTGTGCAAAGAACTCCTTTGAGTATTTTTTGAAAGGTAAGTCTCATTTTTAATTTCTTAAAACCAGAAATTTAATACTTTAAATTTCTATTTGTCTGAAAATGATCAAATTTTGCCAGTATATATGATGGATATTTTTGCAGGATATATGTTTTTTGGTTAGCAATTTGTGTCTTTTAGGGGTTTATATATATCATTCCATTTACTTCTTGCCTTTATGATTTCTGCTGAGAGATTAGAGACTAGTATTATTAGTTCTCTTTTGTAGATATATATATATATTTTTTTTTTGCTTTTCTTGAGCTGTTCTCAGGATTCTTTCCTTGTCTTTGATTTTGAAAAGTTTGATTATAATCTTTTTTTCCTTTGGGGGTCTGTCTTGTTTAGGGTTAGTTCAACTTCTTGAATGGCTATATTCTCATCTTTCATGATGTTAGGGAAGTTTTCTTCCAACAACTCTTGGACAGTAGTCTTTGTTTTTTGGTCTCTCTTCCTATGCTGGAATTGCTATCACATGTAAATTATCCCTCTTGATAGTGTCCCACATAAATCTTAGGCTTTTTTCAGATTATTTTTTTGTTGTTGTTCTTTTTTCTGATTGTTCCTCTTGTTGTTGTTGTTGAGTGCCGTGGAGTCGGTTCCGACTCATAGCGACCCTGCACAGGGTTTCCGAGGCTGTAAATCTTTACGGGAGCAGAACGCCTCATCTTTCTCCCGCAGAACCGCTGGTAGTTTCGAACTGCTGACCTTGCGGTTCACAGCCCGATTTGTAACCACTACGCTACCAGAGTGGTAGCAGATGAATATTAAGAGACTTTTCTTCAAGATAAGTAATTTGACTTTCCAGTGATTCAATTCTATTTATTTGCCCTTTCAGTCTTAGTGTTAATCTTCTGGTTTTCTAATCGCTCATTTTGCACAGTCCCCTCTTTTATAAAATGTTTTTTCTCAGTTTCTTTTCTAAGTTTTTCCATAGTTTTCTGTTTTCCTTGATTTTATCTACAGTTTTCTTGATCTTACTCAAAATTCATTGAAGTTACCTAGTTAGCATTCTTTTAAATTACTTATCAGGTAGTTCTGATATAATTTCTGATATTATATTTTCCCTGGATTTTAATCACCTGTTTGAGGCACTCTGTCTTATTTGTGTAAGCTGAACCTTACTGTCTTCTTGGAGACAGTAAGGTGTCATATTTATATTTAGTTAATGATTGCATATTGAAATATTCTTGGCCATTCATCACCTATCTCCTGGTGGATGTAGTAGAAACTGAAAGTGTGAACAAATTTAGTTCTCTGCTCACTGTTTGTTTGGCATAGTTCAGAGGAGTTCACATGCTTCCAGAAGCAGGGGCACTATGCCAGGTGCCTGACTTTAGGCAGAGCAGAAACTGAGCAGGAGGGAGCGACACTGGCAGCTTGTTTGGTGAGACTTAGTAGCACTGGTAGTGCTCCTGGTTACCGGAGGGCACAGGCACAAGGGAGAATTGCACCCCTTTACTGCCAACCTGCAGCTGCATCCTGTGTCTGCAGGCCACTGTATCAACAGCTGCTTCCAAAAGCTCAAGATGGCCATTACATATCATGGCAGCTCACAGTCTGCCATGTTTCTTCTCTCTCACTGCTCCTGTTCAACCCCCTCCTCCAATCAGCACTCAGTTCACTTCTGTCCTCTCCTCTGCTGCTCAGGGTTTCAGAATTACCATCTTTATCTGTTTCACTCTGTCTCTCATGTCTTTGTTACAGAGGGTCAGCTCAGTGGATCTGCTTACTCCGCCTCCTTGCACAGGCTCCTGACTATACCAATACTGTGAAGATGTTTTCCAATAAAGCTTTAATATTTCTATGATCCATGTTGACATGGAGTCATATTTATTCATTTTCAGACGTAAATTCATTGACAAAGCCTTCCTTTCTCCATTGAATTGTTTTGATGTATTGGTCTAAATCAACTGACTCTACAAGTGTGGATCTATTTCTGGAATTATGTATTTTGCTTATTTTTTGTTTGTTTGTCCTGTTTAGTCTGAGGTTGTCTGTCTGATCTTTACTTATTTATTTGCTATCTGACCTGGATAATTTTGTTTCCATTTCAAAGTGGGGTGCTTGTAGTCTGCGGGATGTTACTATTACCACCAGTGACAATAGGGAGCTACTGGAGGCAAACTTTCAGTAAAAAAAAAAAGTGGTTGCTAAAACTGACCATTATGTTGAGAATGAGGAAAACAAGGATTAAGTGCTAAGAGCTTAAATAGATAAACTAACAAACTCGGGGGTTTTAAGACTTTTGACTTAGCAATAGTGGAACGAACAGTGACTTTTCATGTCTGTTATAAAAGTCTTCCTTCCTTTTACAGGTGAATAACAAATGTAGCCCAAAATAAAGTCACCAACCTATCCTGCTGGTTGCCTTAATACAATATAAACTAAATTCATAGCCTATGTAGGTCTCTCATGTGAAAGGATTCAGTGAAAGAGTAGAAACCTAAGAATTAAAATAGGAATTTGGGGTGGATTTATATGTACAACAATACATATCTTGAACCTTTAAATCTCATTTAGTCTTTCTTGTCAAAGGAAAAAATTCTTCCCCTCCTCTGCAAACTCTGGCCCTCCATTATTGAAACTTTTATGATAACCTTAGAATCATACCAGGAGTCCAGGTGTGGTGCTGCAGGATAAGAACTGGGTTTCTAACTATAGGTTGGTGGTTCAAGCCCACCAGCTGCTACTTGAAAACCCTTTCCAGGATCGCTATAAGTCAGAACTGACTTGCCAGCACTTAACAACTACAACAATCTCAAAATGGGAGTCTTAGACTGCTTACTGAAATGTCGGTGAGTCAAACCCACTCGTCTCTCCTTGGAAACCTTACACAAGGTTTCTGTGAGTCAGAACTGACTCAAGGGCATATAACAACAAACAACTAACATTTTAAATTTGTGTTGCAGCAGCTAATTTTATTCTATTTATCTAGGTTTAATACATAGGCTAATATTAGCTACTGTTGTTAAGTGCTATCGAGTTGGTTCTGGCCCACAGAGACCCTGTTTAGGGTTTCCAAGGAGCAGCTGGTGAGGTTGAACCGCCGATCTTGTGGTTCAAACCAACTTTGCAGTCCAGCACATTTTTAACCCACAGCGACACACCAGGACCCAGCTACTGTTACAAACCCTAAAACATATATTAATACTAAACCTGGGAAAGACAGTGTTATAGCTAAGGGCTCCTTTATTTCAGTCTTGTTCTTGTTGTTAAGTGCTATTGAGTGGGTTCCAACTGTAGCGAACCTGTATAGGATTTCTGAGGAGTGGCTGGAGGATTTGAACCGCTGGCCTTGAGGTTCAAACCGATATTGCAGTTGAGTGCTTATCCTACAGCAACACAACAGGATTCCTCTTTATTTCATAAGGGGATAATATAATCCTAAATCAAAGATCACATGGTGACCTTTGACTGTGAAAATTATGATGGACGTGGCAATCGTGGTATGTAAAGGATCAGCAAAATCAATGTAATGGTTTGACAAGCTTTTGACAATGGCCACTAATCATGGAGCCCCTTTGTTGTTGTTGTTAAATGCCATCGAGTTAGTTCCAACTCATAGCAACCCTGTATAGGGTTTCCAAGGAGTGACTGGTGGGTTTGAACCACCAATCTATGCTTAGCAGTCCAGTGCTTAGCCTACAGTGCCACACCAGGACTCCAATATGCAGTTAAAAGGTTTATAAAATTGGGAGATGATTTTAAAATTTATATCAGATGACAAAACTTTTATAGTTAACTTTTACTTAACCACATAGCAGGACAATTTCTCTTTATTTTCTCTTTCAAACCTTCAGCCATCTGTCATAGTCTAGTTCCCAGGAATCTTGATTTTTTTCATCACCCACAAGATACACCTCTGGTCCATTTCATTGAGGCCATCATGCTGACTAGACTCTGCAGGAAGTAGAAAATATCCTGGATTTAAGATTCATTTGGGTTAATCATAGAAATGCCTTGCTTGTAAGTATCTTGGATTGGCACAGTAGCTGCATCAATGAGCTCAAGCATGCCCAAAATTATGAAAATGGCAGAGGAACGGTCAGTGTTTCATTTTGCTGTGCATTGGTTAAGGGCCAACTTGAAGGCACCTAAAAACAGGGGTATTGTATATTATCTTATGATCTAACTTTTTCACTTTCCAAATGAGGCAAATGGAAAATTGAGAAAGACATGCTGCTAATGTGAACTGATAACTTACTATGTGTCAGGATCTTTGCACATACCATTGAAATTAATTCTACAACAAACCTGTGATCTAGGAAGTTAATTCACCATTTTACAGATGATGAAACAGACTCAGATAAGTTAAATGGCTTAGCTAAGTTTTACACAGCTGTTAAGTACCAAGATTCATTGTTGTTGTTGTTAAGTGCCGTCGAGTCGGTCCCGACCCATAGCGACCCTGTACAGGGTTTCCGAGGGTGTAAATCTTTACGGGAGTAGAAAGCCTCATCTTTCTCCCGCGGAGCAGCTGGTAGTTTCGAACCGCTGACCTTAAGGTTCGCAGCCCGATTAGTAACCACTACGCTACCAGAGCTCCATCCATCATTATTTGACTCCTACATCCAAGGTTATAAAACAATGTACTTCCACTGAGAACTCTTAATTCTTAAAATATGATTTGATTTAATTCTCACAACAATTCAGAGAAAAGTCAATATCAGATTTAAGTGATATATTTCTTAGAAATATAATTCTAGGTGGTGTAGAATTTCTGTCACTATTATAAAAATCTTGCTCCACTGTCTTTTGACTTGCATTGTTTCCAATGAAGAGCTGGTTGCTTTTCTTATTTTTTATGTACTGTCTGTTTTTAAGATTTTCCTTTATCACTGCACCCTCTGGGGAGCTAAGCATGTATGTATAGCACAAACCATAATATTACAAGTAAGACTGCTATTCAAAAGGCAGTTATAAGAGTGAGAGAAGACACTTGCAACACTTATAATTGATGACGTGATCACTCCAAGAGTTTATTTAAAACTTATACAAATCAATAAGAAAAAAGAACATTCAATCAATAGTTAAATGGTCATAAGGCTTGAATAAGCACTTCATAAAAGAGGATTTCAAATGAGCCAAAAGTTTTTATTTCAATGTGCAAGTTTCATTAAGTATCTAAGAAACGCAAATTAAGACCATGATGAGATAACTATATAAATTTCTAGAGGAACTATTAAACGTTGATAGATGTAAAGAAACAGGAAGTCTCACTCTGTTCTTGTGAAGGCAAATTAATACAATTAAAACAAAATTGGAAACCACCTTGGCTGTATCTTCTAGAGATGAAAATATATTATTCTATGACAGGAACTCCACTCCTAACTGTATTAATTCCATATTGTTGCTTTAACTAATCACGCATTTAGAGGTTTAAAACGACAAAAATGTATGATTGCATGGTTCTAGAAGTCAGGAATTTTAATTGTGTCTTATTGAGTTAAAATGAAGATGAGGCAAGGCTGTCCATCCTGACATGTCCAAAGTATGAGCAACAGAGTCTTACTATTCTCACTTCTAAGGAGAATTCTTGCTGTACGTTTTCCAAGACACATTTGTTTGTTCATGGTACTTTTAATATTCTTCATCAATATCATAATTTAAATGCATTCATTATTCTACAGTTTTCCTTATTCACTGGCCAATTTTCATATGCATATGAGGCTATTGAAAATACCATGGCGCAGGTCAGGCTCTCCTGAGTCTTCAAAGTGATATTTTTTATTTTTAGCATTTTGAAGAGGTCTTTTGCAGCACATTTTCCAGGTGTAATTATGCATCGTTTGATTTCATGACTGCAGTTTCCATGGACATTGACTTTGCATCCAAGTAAAATGAAATCCTTAACAACTTCAGTCTTTGTTCATTTTGATGTTGCTTATTGACACAATTTTGAGAACCTTTGTTTTTTATGTTGAGAGGTAATCCACATTGAAGTCTATACTCTTGGTTTTTCATCAGTAAGTGCTTTAAGTTCTGTTCACTTTTAGCAAGCAAGGTTGAATCATCTACATATTGTAGGTTGTTAATAACTCTTGTTCCAACTCTAATTCCAAGTTCTTCTTATAGTACAAATGCTGGAATTATTTTCTCAGTAAACACATAGAATCTACCAGCTGTTTTGGAGGAGAAAGATGAGGCTTTCCGCTCCTGTAAAGATTTACAATCTTGGAAACCCTGTATAGGGTTACTATGAGTCGGAACCTACTCCATGGCACATAACAACAACAACAGCATACACATAGAATAAGAATGGTAAAAGGATGCAACTCTGATGCTAACCTTTCCTTATTTTAAACCACACAGTATCCCTTGTTCTTTTCTAATAACTGCCTTCATGGAATATACGAAGTGTGAATCTAGGAAATTGGAAGTTGTCAAAAATGAACTGTAACACTTGAAGATGTATATTCTAAGATGAAATGGACTGGTATTGGCTATTTTGAATCAGACAATCATATGGTCTATTACACTGGGAATAACAGATTAATAAGGAATGCTGTTACATTCATCATCAAAGAGAACATTCAAGATCTATTCTGAACTACAATGCTATTAGTGACAGGATACTATACATTTACCTACAAGGAATACCAGAATATAAGACTATTATTCTAATTTTCTCACCAATTATTTGTGCCAAAGATGAAGAAATTAAAGATTTTTACCAAATTCTGCAGTCTGAACTTGATCAAACATGTCATCAAGATACATTGATAATTACTGGTGATTGGAATGCAAAAGTTGGA